GCCCCGCCCAGAGTAGGCGGAGAGGAGCCGGCGGGCGCGCTGGCCCCGCGGAGCTGGGCGGCCGGCGTCGTCCTGCGCGCCCCGCGACGCTCCCCGCGCCCCGCCATGCCGCCCGCCGGGCTCCGCGGGGCCGCGCCGCTCGCCGCGATCGCGCTCCTGGTGCTGGGGACGCCCCTGGGTAAGGGCCGGGGTCCGGGGGCGCGGGGGAGGTCTCTGCGCGCGGTCCCGGAGACCCTGGGAGAGCCCGCGCCCCGGAGACCCTGGGGGAGTCAGCGCCCCGGCGTTGCGGGGTCCGCGGGAGGGGAGGGCTGCGGGTGCCGGGCGTGGGGCCGACCCCAGGGGCCGCTCCGGGCAGAGGCCTCTGGGCGCAGGGACCAGGGTGGAGCTCCGGGGAGTGGGAGTGGGGCTGGGCGGCCCCTGGGTACCCCCGTCCGTGCCCGCAGCGCTGGCCGGCGAGGACTGCCTATGGTACCTGGACCGGAATGGCTCCTGGCATCCCGGCTTCAACTGCGAGTTCTTCACCTTCTGCTGCGGGACCTGCTACCAGCGGTACTGCTGCCGGGACCTGACCTTGCTTATCACCGAGAGGCAGCAGAAGCACTGCCTGGCCTTCAGGTGGGCTCCGGCCCCTTCCCTCCTTGTCCGCCTCCACATTCTTCGCCCACACCCAGGGCTCCGGCCTGGGCACGAAGCGGGGCTGTAGCGCCGGGGCTGGGGAGTTCCAGGAGGGGCCGGCTAGTTACCGTCATGTGGTCACCGCTGGCTGGGCTGAGCCCTCCCCTCGCTCCGGGCCTGCGCACCCGGGCGCAGTGGAGCTCTGGGCGCAGTGGAGTTCTGGCTGGAAGGTGGGAGACGGGGGTCTGATTCCCAGGTCTTCTGCTCACCAGCTGCATGATCTTGGGGAGGACATGTCCCGGGTGGGTCACTGTTTCCTCTCCATGAAAAGGGGGGGGGACACAATGAGTGGTTTTCAAACTTCTTATTGGAGGGGACGCTGACATATAGAACAGGTATAGGGAGGCTGTGATTAAAGAGGGATCTGAGAAAACAGCTCTGGATCATTTCCCAGGGGGCTTTCAGGGCTCCCGTGCTGGAGTCTAACCAGTTAAGTCATGGACGGGGGCACACACTCCACATCCCCGCCGGCCACTCTCTGACCAGCAGGCCGCCTGGCCTTCCGGGAAGTGTGGCCCCCTAAGATCTACCCACACCAGTCGGGCACAGCCCCACCAGGAGACCCACATCTCGGTTTGTGGTGGCCCCCTGCTGGCCAGGGGTCCGAGCCCAGTGTTACTGTCAGCGTGGTGAGGATTCCGCCCTTGAGGTTGGAAGGTGAGGGGACCTGTTCTTTGTCTAAGTCCCAAGACCATAGCGGGCATCGCCTCCGCCGTGATCCTGTTCGTGGCCGTGGTCGCCACCACCATCTGCTGCTTCCTCTGTTCCTGCTGCTACCTGTACCGCCGGCGCCAGCAGCTGCAGAGCCCATTTGAAGGTGCGTCCATGTGGGACGGGCCAGGGGACCCTGAGCCGGGCCAGGCTGAGACCCACGGTGGGCACCAGAGGTCAAGGGGGTGAGGTTCTGCAGCAGCGTGTGCTTCCAGACACACACTTGCCAGCACGTAACCCCAGAAACAGGAGCGTTCAGGGGCCTGTGTGAACGCTGGACTGGTATGCACGAATGCGCCTGCACCGCTTGCCGGCATCAGCGTGTGTGCCCTGGGTTTGTGCGTGCTCTTGGCTCGTAGGAAGCACTTGGGGTGGGGCCTGGAGTGTGAACATCATCGGTGCGCTCCGTGCGTGCTCGAAGGACGTGTGCCTGACTTGGCGTGTGACTGCACATAAGCCCAGACTGGTGGGCGTGGGAACAGTGACTCCGGCCCGGGCGGGGGGATCAGTGTGGGGGGACCCCTGTTGGGGGCAGCTCTGCTAGGCTGCAAGATTCCAGCCCCACAGCGGCCATCTCCTTGCCCAGGTAAGACGTTCCCCAGGCCGCACTCTCTGGCCCAGGAGGTCTCTGAAACCCCCTGAGGGAGCAAACTGCT